TGCCAAATTGAAGAGTGATAAAGTGATTAACATTTTTACTATTTGGATTTATACTATAATACAATTACGATGTCAGCGTAACGTTTAATAATTTGACTAATATCAAAATAATACCATAATATATTCCACTATATTTAATATTTAAAGAAAGAAAATATGAATTCTTTCACTTAATCTGTAAACAATTTTCGATGATATAAGACTAAAATTAATCTTTCCAAATAAAATATTTTATTATATTTTGTTATGGTATCATACACAATAATTGAAAACTAATTTTGAAAATTGCAAAAGATTTTAGATTAACAACTTCTCTTTTAATTATTAATTTAATTTTTATTCAATCAATTATATTAAATATTTCTATTATTTCTCTACAGTAGCTCCAGTATTAGTAACTTAAAAATTACAAACATAATACCATTAATTTTTTTAATAATCCACAATTTTTTTTTTCTTTTGCTGAGAACAAAGGATTGTGGGTACAAAAATTTTTTTTTCTAAATTTTTTAATTTTTGGGATGCATTCCTTTAAAACCAAAATGTATTAATTTGCATACATGTACTAATAAATATAATTTATTTTCTAATCTTTTAATCTCATAATCTAATCTTTTTATTAATGCCTTTATTCCTGTTTTTCAACCATTTAAAAGACAATTTTTTTGATAAGAAAAACGACCCACAAAATATTAAAACAATAACAAGAGGAATATATAGAGGAAAAAAAAATCACCTTTGAAAATGATATTCTATTTTTTATGAACCTGTTCTCATATTAAATTTTTGAAGTTGCATCCGTAAATAATAATGAAAAATTTAAAAGGTTCATTAAATCAACAAAACTAATAATATTCAAACATATGTATCAAATATGATACACATTTAGAGAAAGCATGTAAATTTTATTTTGGTATTCATAAAATTGTGTTAATTAAAATATAGATCTCGGAAAATTGAATGGAACTTTTATTAGAATTATATCTTGAATACCTTAAAAATTTTACACAATTTTATAAATTCTTATGTAAGACTGTATTTAATTAATACATTTTCATATTTCAAAAACACGTAGGAACCGAAAGTTATAATCTATATATATAGATTAACTATTGTTAATCTGTAAACCATATAGTGAAATTGAGCTTAAACCATACAACATTAAAAACAAACCAAGTTGATACAATAATTTTATGAAATAGCGACAACACTAATAATAGCAATCGTAATAAAAGACATCATAACATTTTTAATAATAATGGTATAGAAAAGGTCAAATCGCATAAATTTTCATAACAACTTTATATATACATGACTTTTTTTCTTAATATTTTAATGTTCTTATATCTTGACATAATTATATCTAATTTGAAGTCTAATTTTTCAAAGGAATCTTATATTAAAGATGCGGTAGGTAATTTTGTAGCACCCAGAAGAAAATTTAAATATGTTTGTGCGTATATCCATATCTGTAACATATTATCATAATAATATAATTAATTTATTTTAAATACATACACAAACATAACCGTTTAAATAAGAAAGAAAAGGAAGAAATTAAAGAGTTAAATGAAAGTTAAATATTTCAAAAACGAACATACATACATACATTTTCTATATTACATAAATACTATGTTACGCACGGTAATAATATCACTCCATTAATTCCCGTAGAACAATAGTATAGTTTATAGTATGTATCCATTTTAGTTTTAAGATAAAGAAAAATAAAATAAAATAAAACAAAGTAATTTTTATGTATTAAAATACTCATGGTACAATAGTATACTAAGAGAACGTAACAAATACAGTACACTCGTTATAAAAATGATCCAAAAATATAACCAATCTAAAATTCTAAAGTGTATCTTCTGACTATTAGATTTGCCCTCAACAAATACTCTTTTGAATATAATGTCATTATTACATTGATTTTATTGGTTATATTGTAAATGACGTGAATGCTTATACATAAACAAAACAACCATATACATATATTTCGATAATTAATAATACGATGAATTAAAATAATTATTTTATTGGAACACTTATTTTAGTTTTTAAGAAAAATTAACGATTCTCTTGGTAAAAAAATTAAAAACAATTGAAATACGTAAATTAAAATTAAAATTTAATCAAATAGAGAAAATATTAATAAGCAAGATTTTCAAGAAGGTATTTAAAGTATTATTAGTATTTTTTCACAAAACAAGAAATATGTATGTATATATGTAAGTTTATCAGAAATTTAAATTTTAAAAGCTATTCATAGAAAAAAAATTTTACGTCATTGTAATCGTATATTTTTTCACGTATACGTAACTGTATATAAATACTCGTATTTCTTTTGAATTTAAAATTAAGCCTTATAAATCTTGCAAAAAAATTTTTTCCTATTCCTCAACATGAAGTAAGATTAAATTTGTCACTTTATGTTGCGGTGCACTGTTCTTCGTATTTATTTGAAATGACAACTGATTTTGTTATAAAAAAAAAAAATAAAATAAATTTAATAAAATGTTATACAAGGTTTTGTATTTTTAACAAATCGTATAAAAGCAAAAGTAAACAATAAACTATCAACTTAATCTACTAAATCTACTTAATTAAAAAATATCTTAAACATTCTAAGTATCGCCTTCCATAAATATATTTTAAATAAGTTAGAAAATTCTTAAAAACTAGTTCAATTATTAGTTAAGAGTTCCTATGGTTCCAAAATTGACTACGAACTATTTCAGTAAACCATCATATTATTTATATAGAACAGGTAGAAATAACATTCTTTTAAAAGTTAAATATAATGAAAATCGAATTCATCTCATAATTTTCTTTTCAAAATTAATTACGTACACTCATTCTTTTCTATATATAAAAGTTTTAAAAATTCCAATTTAGTTAAAAATGTGGATAAAATATTTTCCTTTTATTAATTATAAAAAATTCTAATATTATCGCCAAATATTTTTCATACTTTTGTTTCACTTTTTTTTTAATTAGATTTTGAAGATAAAATAGTACATTAAGTGTTTAGAAATACTAGACAAATAGAATTGTTGTCGAGAGTATTTTAATTTGAAACACACTGGCGCGAACAACTTTTATTAAGGTAGATCAAGTTGAAATGGTTATTTAGCTCTAGTTATTTTTATGAGAAATTTAGAAAAAGGGTTGACAAACATTTTTCTTTTGTTTTTTAACACTAATGGGAAAATATAAAACAAAATAATAGACAAATATCAGAAAATTTTTTTGAAATTGGCAGGTGCATTATACTATGTAATTATTACTTTCACCTGTATTAAGTAAATATGAAAGTTATATTACATTATTCAATGAAGAATAATATAATTCTATTAAATAAGAAATATAATAATAATTTTGGAAATTATTACGACCGCGAAGAAAAATCATTTATGTAAAACGAAAAAAAATGCGTAAAATGATATATGCAATTCAAATATAAGCTTAAAAAAATTAAATTGCATATATACAGGCGAAACAATATCAAAAACTGTGCCTGTGATTTTATGACGCTTCAACTCTCAAATTCATGTGTATTTATGTACATAAAAGTGCTTGAATTAAATCGTTTCTTTTTTAACCAAAATGTCATGATATTTATATATTTTCATTTTTGTTGCTATAAAAATAATTTTAACAACATACGCTTATCACTTGTACAAATTATGGAACTTGGATTGGGTGAAAAAAAATAACATTACTAGAAAAATACGAAATAGAAGAAAGTCAGAAAAAACAAAGGAAAAACAACGAAAATGACGTCAAAGGATATAGAATTACGTAATACTTTCTAAAACTTTGAAAGCTTTTAATAAGTTTTTTATAGTTTTTGGTTTATGAAAACTCAATATAAATTCAGCGTATTAAAGTGCATTATGATAGTTGAAAAGTGTGTACACATCTCTGTTTTATCTTTTAGTCGCCAGGTGTCTTTGTATTTTAGAATAGCGCACTGTTTCGTTCAATTAAAAAAACTCTTAGCTGACTTCAAATTAATCAATGGCTAGAAAATTAGCTTTTTTCTTATTTTTAGTTGTAAAAATATAACCAAGTACGAACGTTAGCGACGGGCAATTTCTGTGTTTAAGCCAAGAAAAACAGTGAAACGGCAAAATGAACTATATCAGCATTTTTACATATAATGTCACACAAACGTGGAAACAGATAATATCAACCAAAAACCACCAGCGGTAAAATAGGATTTTAGGCTATTCCGAGCAGCCCCAAAATCTTTTAAATACATGTGTATTATTTTATAATCATGTAAATTCATGTGTATTTTTAATTTAAAAGTGTTAATAAATAAAAAAAAATTGTCATAATTACGACGCGAACATATAACGGTGCGATAACAACTAGTTTTATTATGTAGCATCGATAAAATTTTTACATTTGACAGATATTACACCATGTCGAGTATCACTCTACAGTAAAGCTTTGGAACAAAATCAGTGTCGAGTGACACTCGACATTGGAGTGGAAAGGGTTTAATTATTTATAATATGCAGTTGTTTATTTTATATTCATTGTTAGTTTTTTAAAATATCAAAAAAACGATGATTTAGTTTAAACTGCACGTTGTAAATCGTAATACAATTTATTTAGAATTAAAACATTTCAGGTTGATCAAGAGTTCCCCTATGACTAAGAATTCCCTATTGCTATTTTAAATATTTAAATTTTCTTTGTGACGCATATATTAAATTTGTGTAAGAAACGATTAACTAAGTTATACATATGTATTTCAAATAATTAAAAAAACAAAATTAGTACCAAATAAAATGTGGATGGCTTAATATCAAGTTTTTAGCTTAATTGTTTAGTACATCTTTTTTTTTTCAATTTTAATTTCAGCCGCCGCCGATTTATCAGATTCACACACTTCAACAAAATACTATTTTGACATACTCAACGAAAATTTATCGAACGCATTCTGACAGTTTTAATCTGTGACAACCCAGGCAAGATTTGTCAATGTCAGAAATTCAAAAAGGCAAGGTAAAAAATCAAAGTTCTTGAGTCGACCACGAATAGCTCCATTTTCTTTTTTTTTTATTTAAAAAAAACGCGAGACAAGAAAAAAAATATAATTTTAGTTTTTAATTTATTGTTTGACAATCCATTAATATTAAAATATTTCAATCAAGTAATCAAATCATACGCCATAGAATAATCGAAATATAAATAGATTTATATTTTAATAGCAACAAAAGGTACGTACTCAAAGTATTTTCAGTAAATAATTTTAAAAATTTTTATCAATTTTTAAAAACAAATTTAATTTTCAAAAAAAAAAAATCAAACCAAAAAATTTGTTTAACATTAAAGAAAAACCATTTTTCGTTTTTGGATTTTACTCAATGAGAAGACTCAAATTAGGTTGTGTGAGGTGAAAAATATGATAACCAATTACTATATCCCTCATGTTCAATCGGTTCTACAGTAAGTACAAAAACAAAATCACAACTTTGGTTTTTGTTTATGTCAAAATTAAAATTAAATAAAATAAAATAAAATTGTTCAAAATTTAATTTAATTTTTCAAATATGCTGGAAAATTGTTTTTTTTGGAATTTGTTAAAAGGCTTCCATTTAAATGTATAAAAAAATTATATAAAAAAAAATATAATATAAACATATAATTTTCACATTCGGTTATGTATGAGCAGTTTGGCAATTGATTTCATATTACATACTTATATATATTGACGCAGTATATTTATAAGAAAATTTTTACAAATTATATACATATATATATATATATATATTTAGTAATATTGTTCGCTTGTTCCAATGTTGTGTATTTCTTCTCAAGTTTATGATAAGTTTAGAAAAGTAATAATAATTTTTAACACAAGTTGCGATTTGTATCCATAAAAAAGAGGGTTTCTTTTTTCATATATAATATTATTACACTATACTTAAATATTTACATACATAAATATATTTTATATCTATATACATAGTTTTTTTTCTAATATCTGAATCTTCTATATATTTTTTTTATTACCCTTTTATACCAAAATAGGTGTAGTAACTTTTTTCAATTACATTTTATAATAGATAATGGAAGTATTTCATATCAAATTTTGAAAAGACTATATATAAATTAAGTATCTACCTAAAGTAAATATAAATTATATTCAAAAATTTCAAAATAAAAATTTTAGAATTTAGCTATAGACTATGAATTTTACTTAATTTTATGATAATTAAGTTCTTTATATCGATAAACCGCCAAAAATACATAGAACAATTCAGTATAAATTGATTTGTTGGTAATGTTAATTTTTTGTTTTCATATAACATAAAAAATATCAATTAGTTTGGAAAAATTCTTTAAAAATATAAATTTGGCGTAAAATAAAACACGTTTTGATATGGAATGCTTCCAGTAATGAAAATTATTTGAATGAGTTTTTTTATTAATTACAAATAAACTACATTTTTTTCTTTGCAAAATCACACAAAAAAATTTTTTTAAGCAATCAATTTCCATGTAATAAATTTATTCAATATTATTATAGTTTGCAAATAAGAAGTAAAAACAACTTCAATCAAAATGGGAAGGAAAAAGAAGAAGGCTTCGAAACCATGGTGCTGGTACTGTAACCGTGAGTTTGATGATGAAAAAATTCTAGTCCATCATCAGAAAGCAAAACATTTTAAATGTCATATTTGTCATAAAAAATTATACACTGGACCCGGACTATCAATACATTGTATGCAAGTACATAAAGAAACAATTGATAAAGTACCAAATTCACTACCAAATAGATCAAGCATAGAAGTTGAAATTTACGGCATGGATGGTATACCATCAGAGGATTTAAAAGAACATGAAAAACAAAAAAATGGTGGCAAATCAGATTCTGATGATGATGAGCCAACAACTAAGAAAACTAGGACAGATACTTTAGTAGATGGTTTGCAGGTAACAAATTTAAAAGCACCACCAATGGTTCCTCCGTTTGCGGCAATGCCACCTCATGTTATGGGCCCGATGGGTCCAATGCAACCATATATTGGACCTGGTGGAATACCATATATGCCTACGCCACAACCATTTATGGGTCCTCCAACAAGACCACTATTTCCTGCAGCAGCTGTTAATCACTTAAATCACCAGCAAACAAGTAATCCATCTACCCAACAAGGTAAACCAACATTTCCAGCTTATAGTAATGCTACTATAAGTGCACCTCCTACAACAAATCAAAATAGTAATAGCAATAATGCCAATCAAATACCAGGCGGTGGAAGTGGTACTTTAACATCAAATTTTGTGGCAGGCGTTGCAAATGAAGCAAATAAAAATTCAATCGTCACAAATAATACTACATCGAAAATAATACATCCATCAGAAGATATTAGCTTGGAAGAGTTTAGAGCACGGAAAGAAAAATACGCAAAATTAGTTCAAGAAGCATTAGCAAAAATTCAAAAAAATAAAATTTCGACAACATCAGCAACAGCAACAATAATAAATAATGTAACAACATCGATAAAAAATTCAATCAATTCTACTGGTATAACCACAACAACAACGGCGACAACAATAGCTAGTAATAATGCGGCCAAACATGGCCATGAACAACCAACTTTAACGAAAACATCCCCAGCAAGTGTTGCTGCAGCAGCTGTTGCGTTACAACAAGCCCACGTAGCTGCGGCTCAATCAAGAGCGGCAGCTGCTGCTGTTGCAGCACATACACAGGCACAAGCAGCTCAGGCTCAAGCGCAAGCGCATGCCCAAGCGGCTGTTGCACATCATCATCAACAACAACAGCAGCAGCAGCAGCAACAACAACAAAAGCAATTCGATGATATTAATAGAGCAGTAATGTTGCAACGTATACAACAAGCTAGTCGACAAGCAGCGGGACATCCAATAGGAATGGTACCAGTTGCATCAACGCAAATGCAACTAGTTCAACCCGTTATGAGACCAACAATGGCATTAGCACCACATGGTGCTGCAATTTTAGGTGGTAATATGCTAAGGCCTGGCGCACCACCGCCACACCAGATGCCGGCTGGGCTATTAGCACCAATACCAGGAATGGTGGCACCTGGTATTGGTGTTGTTATACCAGGACCACCGCATATAATGCCGATGATGCCACCTAGATTTCGGTGATCTACTTCAAGGGAGTCATTTTGTTTGACTCCGTTAGTTGATAATTCATTGCTAATATTGTATCCTTAAAGAAATATTAATAATTACAGTAAATAAATATTATGGTAAAAAGAAAGAGATTAAAAGAAAAAACTGAAAACAAAGTAAACATAAAAAAGTAAGTTGAGTGTTATGTTTTTGATCATTTTTCTATAATTTCAATTATTGTTTCTTTCATTTTTTTATCGAATTATTTATATACATACAAATTTTAAAATTTTAGAATATTTTGAAATAAAATTAAGGAAACAATAAAATTTAAATTTAAAATAGGTAGATTTTTATTATTTCAATATGTATAACGGTATGAAACTGTTAAGATAAATTAAAAAAAAAAAACAATAAAATAAATTTTCGTTGGAGATCTAAAATTGTTGATATTTTAAAATAATTCAAATCAAGGAATGTTTGTATGTATTCTTTTCTTTTTCAGAAAAAATAGATTTACATTAATTAGGATGTTCTTTGAGTCTGATTATCAAGAAATAATATATTTGTATGTTACGTAATGCACGTTATAAAGGATTAACGATTATTGGAATAGAATACAAATTTAATGGGCAAAGCACATACATAGTTACATACATATGTACAAACTTATTATTATTTACATGTAAAATGCTGTCAAGACGCAAATTCCCCATTAGCTCATATCGTTTGACCCACATATTTAAAGAGAAAATAATGACATCAAGAACAAGAAAAAATATGATTTTTGTATTATGTAGCATTTATGCTTTTGAATGTAAGAACTTGAATTAATCATTTCTTAACATAAATAGAGATATTGCATAATTCATTATTATATTCTTTATAAAGGAGGTTTTAGGAAAAAAAAGGATATTCATAGTAAACAAGGATGCAGAACTTTTATAATAAAACAAAAAATAACATCCTTATCGAAAGATTATTATAAAATAAATTTATAAAAGTTTCATGCATGAGGATCAAATAAAAGATTATCAGATCTGAGTCAACAAAAAAAAAAAAAAGAACTGAAAAATTTTGTATTGTCTCATTTCTTTTATTTAAAAGTCTGAACCAAGTAAGAAAAAGTTTAAAAGTGTCCGAAACAGAAAAGCGATGAAAGTTAGAAGTTTATTATTTTAAAAAATTTCAAATAAATCTGAGCACTAAAATATTTTATGAGTATTTGATGTCAAGGACAATACTTCTATTTAAAAGAAAATTTGTTTATACATAAGTCTAGCAAATGACTTGAAATTGAAAATAGGTTATTCTCAAAATAAAAGTCTAAAAATATTTGCTTGCATCAAAGTCATCAAACTTTTCATAAATCATAAATATATACATATTTTAAATGAAATTTACAATTGAAAATTTTAAAAATTTACAATACAATCACTAAAAAGTTTTGTATAATTTTAATTAAACCCCGATAGTTTCAAAATATGTACTTAAAATACGTTATTTATAATCAATATGAAAACCTTACTAAAATTACCTATGGAATACCTTATAAAATTATTACTTAAATGCGACTTAAATGTCGTCGAATATTAATAATTCTTTATAAAAAACTTTCTAGTAAAGCTTTTCCTTTAAATTTTTTCTTTAAATATCCTTTTTATAGGCATACAATGTTCATGTCATGCAACATAAGTTGTTAAAGTGTTTTCTTTTTCTCTTTTAAAGTTGCCCATGAGTAGGTCTGTTTGACATATTAAGGATTCTTAATCTAAAAATTTTCTTTTATATTGATTTATGCTTTAGCAGCAGAAATCAACTTTTAATAAGTGTTATTTTTCGAAATCGTATATTTAGAGAAGCAATTTGTAACGAAGTTTAGATATTGCTGACAATAAATTTTTTCTGAATATTAATTTTTTGATGAAAATTTTAAAATTCATAACTAGATTAAATTTAATAGTTAAAATATGATAGCATCTCAGATGATATTTATTTCTAATATTGAACCCAATCGCATAGAATTAATAGAAATTGAAATGCTTTGTATATGCACAGAAGATTCGGATAATATAAAAGAGGAGATTTAAATCAGAATATTTCAGTATAAAAAAATAATTTTCAATTTAATGTTAATACCATTACGAGTTTTTTTTTTAATTTACTTTCAGCTTTTTTAAAAATTTTTAAATATTTTAGAGTATATCAAACATTATTTTTTTACGTTAGATGTAAATTATTTGATTTTCCATCTTTCATTTTCTATTTAATCATTTAAATTTTTGAAAAGGCAGTAAAAATAATAAACACTATCAAAATGCAATCGAAATAAAGAAATTTTGAATATTTTAGTAAATATATGATGAAATTTTTTATCAAAATTTTAAAAATTTACAAAAAAAAAACTAACATTATGAAATACCAAGTTATTTGATATTCAATAGTTAACTCAAATAGAGTTGAAAATTGAAAACTGTATTAATTAGATAGAAAAATAAAAAAAAATTCTCTATTGCAAAATCCTATATAATTGCTTGCAATTTTTAATATTATGTAAAAGCTCTCTTATCATTTTCTAAAATCTCTTTTTCTTACTAATAAAAGTTCATCAGCCTTAAGTATAAATACATAGTATAAAAATATAAATTCTAATATAAATTACGTCAAAATTTATAAGAAGAAATAATAAAATGAAACTAAAGTAGATTGCGCAAATCAAAGTGGAAAAAATAAAAAACAAAAATCTGTAAATTTGAAAGATAAACAACACCTACAATATTTGCAAGGCTATAAGCATACTTGGTCAATTAGAAATTAAATCTTCTCTGTAGCTTTTATTCGCTTGTTATTTCCTATGTATTACAAAATTTAATTAATTAATTTTATTGTTTTGTTTTTACAAAAAAAAATTTAACGTGTGATAAAAATTTACAGAAAACTAAAGTGAAATAATTTTTTTTTTGCATCCAGTCTTGTTCATATCTATTTTTAAATTAATTAAAAAAGCATTTGATTTTGAATAAAAAGAAAATAACAATTTAAAATAGTGTTAATAAAAAGTGCTTTTTAATTTAAAAAGAGGGATAAATGTTGTATATGAAAAGCTACTGCCAGATAAGCAAAATCTTTATTGAAAAAAATCTGAAGAGAATTTTTTATCTTCTGTTTTATATATTAATAAAAGAACAAGACAAATATTTATAGCCCCTAAGTATAAAACTACTTCATCAAAATGAATATAGTTTTCATAGATTTAATGAGAATGAATGCGAAATACGTAAAATGAATTCATATTTTTATTTTATTAACCAAATATTACAAATTTTAAATTTTTCGTATAAATTAAATTCGAAAATTCTTTCTATTAAACAAAATTGATTATAGTTAAAATCAAGCATTCGAGCAAAATTTTATATTTCATTTACTGTAGTGGCATAGATATTGAAATTTCAGGACCTTATTTTTTTCATAAGTTTAATATATACAATAAAAATTTTTGGAAATACATGCTCTAAGTTTTATTATAACCCATCACGCTTGAAAAATTGGAATTTTTTTGTAAATTTGCTAACTAATTAAGATAAATTGTAATTCAATTAATTAAAATTTTTATCGATAAAATTTAAAATAAACGAATAATAGTATTTGAATAAAATTCGATTATTTTAATCTAACAGCCTTCCTGTAGAAAAAGGAAATTATCTTTTAAATAATAAAAAGAATTATTCCCTTACAATAAACAAATATCATTTAAATTTTTGGGAATAAGTCAATTGATGAACAACCGAATGGTGTGAATTTGCGATGCATAATACAACCACCTAAAAAACAATTTAACAAAAGAGTAATAAAAGAGGAAACAAAAAAAAAAACAAACAAAAAATAAAAGCAGGATAAATAAAAAAAGGAACAAAAAATAAACATAAAGACAAATTTATTACTTGTATTATTTTAATACTCCAAGGAATTTTCAATGTATGCCAAACAATATGTATATTAAAGTACACATACTTAATCGTATCTATACATGCATAGATATTATTTTCCATTCGCACAAATATATATGACGTATTATTCAATGAAAAACCCAGTTTTTCTTTAAAGTAAACAAAAAAGAAAATTAAGAGAATGTTTAGATTTTGTACGGAAATTGTTGAAATAAAAATAAAAAAAGAAGGAATTTTAATAACATAAAAGAAAAAAAATTCTACATTAAAATTAATATTACATTTATATAAAAAAAAAAGGAAATTTGAAAACTGGTTGATCTCATTAACTATAAGAACAGTCCAGTTGAATAACATGGGATGAAAATATAAAAAACTTTATTTTGCGTTAACGTTTGTATTTTCTGCAAATGTATAAAATATTAAATTACATTTAAAAACCCTAGTCATAATTTCAATTTTGGCCATTATAGTTCATATTATGTAAAATAAAATTTAAAAAAATATATACTCTTATGTTTTCCGACTTATCATGAACCGTTACCGAACTTGTTTTATGATTTATCAAATAAGAATGGATTATTGAAATTCAAATATTTTGAAAAATAAAATTTTAATTTTTTTAAGTAATTAAATTAATAATAATTAACATTATAATCAAATCAATGCCAAAAAATTATAAAAAAAAATAAAAAACATTCAACGATTTCTACAAACAAAAAAAAAATTAAAAATTATTTATTATTAAAATGTTTTAGTTTAATTTTTATAATACCATAAAAATTCAATGAAATTATTTATTCTTTAAATAAAATAGAAATAATTAATATAAAATGTTTGTGTTCAAAATGAAAACTTGTAAAATATGTTTGTGATGTATGACGTATATAATGTTAATTGTATACAATTAATTGTTTAGAAAATATTTAGATAATTATAATAATGTTTAATAAATTCTAAGTTATAAAATTATTAGTTTTTAAGGAAAATTATGTAAATAAGCCTAAATAAATTTAATTTAAAACTTGTTTAAAATTCTTTTCATTTTTTCTTTTCATTTCTTTTCAATTTTTATTTATTTATTTAACATTTATGTATTTATAATTATTTTATTTCCTTAAATATCCCAGTATTATATAATAAACGAAAATACTTAACAATAAAAATTTAAATTTATTTTATATTACTTTTGCCATAATTTTTATTAATTTTTGAATAATCAATTTCAAAGTGGATAACACAGTAAT